TCGTCGATTTCATCTATGGTTTTAATTTGTATTTTTTTTAAACTAAAGTTCGATATTCAATTTTCCTCTGTCGGTGCGTGTGTTCGTTCGCTCATGGAATATTGAGGAATTACTAAACTGATCTTGAATATACTTTTTCGCGCTTATAGCTAATTGTTTGTCTAGAAAATTCGATATTTTATATTGTTAATTTATGAGATTGGAGACTTGTTGCATTTCATTTTATTTTAATTCTGATTTTAATGCAATCAAAAGTAATTAATTCAAGACGAAGTACTGAGGGTACATTATAAATTATATATCTATTCCATATAATATTTATTCCAAAGTATAACATATTGGGCCACGGGTCCACTAGTTTCAAATAGATTTAATTCCACGAGTAATCTTAAAGAGCTCTGAGCATATGCAAGGCAATTGAATGAATATATGAGTCGTCTATTATCAAAGGTGGCAATCTGTGCGTTTGGACAAAAAAAATTTATTGATATGTCAATACAGATTGATTTGAATTTAATCGTCTCCTTCAAAGAATACGGTTCAAAACCTGCATTAAATAAAGGTTAATAGTTAACCTGTTATTTATCTAAGATGTCGTTCCGAAGAGTTTTGTGACTGCCAATGGAATACAAAGTCAATAATTCGTTTTTCTGATTTACCAATCATTGTCCAAAAGACAGATTGCCGGCTTTGATAATAGTGGACTCATATAATTATAGGCTTAAAAACGGCTTAAGTTCTTCGGCATCATCTTTCGAATATTTTTTGTAAGAATCATCGTTTGACCTTCCATACTGACTGTGTGATTTTAAAACAATTACATTTACGTAGGAGTAACAACACGATCACGTACAGTGGGCCGGGTCTCTGTCCTTAGGTCTGGGTGACGACTAACCTTGGCCAGAGCGTACTACAGCAAAAAAGAATAGATTATGAACAGATAGATGGATTAAGATAATATTTTTTGGCGATTCAAGGCACTGTTTTTTTTGTATTGCTTAGCGGATGAGCTCACAGCCCACTTGGTGGTAAGTGGTTGCCGGAGCCCATAGACATCTACAACGTAAATGCCGCCGCCCGCCTTGAGATATAAGTTCTAAGGTCTCAGTATAGTTACAACGGCTGCCCCACTTTTCAAACCGAAACGCATTAATGCTTCACAACAACTAATGTGCTATAAAACCGAGATTTAGAACTCATTTCGTAAGGTGAGTGGTGACATACACGTTGTTGATGTCTATGGGCCTATGTTATCCGGTAACCACTTAAACAGGCCAAGAACGCGTCCACCCTTAACTAAATGTATTAAATATTGTTAGCAGTAAATAAATTTAAACCAAATCGAAAATGTAAGTATTTCAATATGTAACTGTATTACATATTAAAAAAAGTGCAATAAAACATTTAAAGTCCCAAAGTAAACTAAATTAGCATGATAACATTGATAACCAATAAATTTTGAAAGAGTCAATTTTATAGCCTTAGATTTTTTTTCACATTTCGAACGACCGTGATGAAATTGAGATAATGTTTCAGACAAAAATTGTAACTCCAAACTTGTCTCACGGGGTACAATTAAAAAACGGATCATTGCATTTTATCTTTATTACTTTGCTCAACATTGAGTATGTATTAAATAACAGAACATTGCAAAATCAGGGGCACAGACTAAATGGTTCCCATGATCTCAATGTTTCGAGATGCCAGCTCTGATTAAAGCTTCGATTCAATTGTTTTTTGCTCAGTTATTTGTGGATTAGTAGCTTAGCTGTTGTATAACATGGCAATATGGCGAGTTATAAGTTTAATTGCTTTAAAATTTTCGTAATGTCATCTGTCCTAAATGGCATCTAGAATGTTGCGTGAACTCTCATAGAAATATTTTTATTTGCATTTTATGTGATTCTGAAATATCATACAATATTTTAAGCATTTGACCGTAGTAAAAAACGAGCCTAATGAGTACATAAACATCACTGATCTATACAAATAAATAAGATTAAAGTGTCTGTTTGTAATCTTAAATTAACCGTTTTTTATTACATGCATATGAATGTACATATACGGTACATATACGGTACATATACCAAAAAAACATTTTTTACAATTTATGTCGATCTGTTTGTCTGTTAGTTCTACCTAATCTCTGGAACGGCTGGACCGATTTTGTCGGGACTGTAATCAGGAGTAACTTAGGCTACTTATATTTTAGAAAAATTCTAAAAGTATTGTGGCGGGTCGCCGTCATACAACGCAAGATAATTGACAGATGCCTGAATCTCGCTTACGACATTTTCAAGGTAAAGCGCATATATACAAGTTCCGAACAACAACATTCGGACCCGAATAGTAAACCGTCGACGTCGTCCAAAGCACGCCATCACGGATCCTCCTGATCCATTAACGGTGCTTTTAGGCAATACAAGCACCGGTCACCGTCCTCGTCGAACCCGTCGCTTGCGACGAAGGGCTCGACGAGCGAATTAACCCACAGACACAGCCCACTGAGTTTCTCGCCGGATCTTCTCAGTGGGTCGCGTTTCCGACCCGGTGGTAGATTCTGCGAAGCACTGCTCTTGCTAGGGTCAGTGTTAGCAATTCTCCGGTTTGAGCCCCGTGAGCTCACCTACACAAGCTAGGGTAAGCTGAAATAGCCTCTCAAGGCTATNGAGCGAATTAACCCACAGACACAGCCCACTGAGTTTCTCGCCGGATCTTCTCAGTGGGTCGCGTTTCCGACCCGGTGGTAGATTCTGCGAAGCACTGCTCTTGCTAGGGTCAGTGTTAGCAATTCTCCGGTTTGAGCCCCGTGAGCTCACCTACACAAGCTAGGGTAAGCTGAAATAGCCTCTCAAGGCTATCAGCATAGGTAGGATAAAAAAAAACCATTCGGACCGTCGGTCTACCGAGCATTATCACCCGCTCGGTGGAAGATCTTCCCTTTGTCGTAAGCCCCAAAGTATTATAAAAAAATATTATAATGTTTTGTTGAATTCCACGCGGACCCACTCACGGGCGCACCTGGTCATAAATAAGAAAGACATTTGTTCTTCTTTTATGTAAGAGTGATATTTGATATTTTTCTCAGTACTGAGCCGCGGTATGGCTGTGTACTTTTATGTGAAGTTCACTCCTTATAAGGATAAAATGTGTTAGTGTTTGGACCAAAAGGTTAACATATTTTAATTAGAGAACGAAAACAATAATTACGTCACACAAGAATACATCGAAAACACAGTAGTTACGGATAAAAAACTTCCGTTCCCATAAGAAAGATGGGTCGGCTAGCAAGCATTGAATTAAAACAGCAGAAAGGCTATTGTCCTGTTAGAGCTATTGTCCTCATGAATATCAATTATTATAGAAACTTCACATCGTTCTACAAGCGGAGAACCACAACGGGGTATTAGTGCGCCACCTTTGAAACAGTAAAGGACTACTAAACTATAGCGATGTTTGCATTGTGGCAAAAAATAGGCAGTGCAGTTATCCGCGCGGGTAGGTACCACCACCCTGCCTATATCTGCCGTGAAGCAGTAATGCGTTTCGGTTTGAAGGGTGGGACAGCCGTTGTAATATACTTATGACCTTAGGATTTATATCTCAAGGTGGGTGGCGCATTTACGTTGTATATGTCTATGGGCTCCAGTAACCACTCAACACCAGGTGGGCCGTGAGCTCGTCTATCCATCTAAGCAATAAAAAAAGCATGCGGGCTTTATCATTAGTAATTACGTAATAACCTTATTCATGAACATGTATTAGCTGGCTATTTGTTTAAAAAAAATTGGTACTCGCTTACAGATATTGAAGTCTATGTACATCACTCGATACGGGTGTACACAGGTCGCCTTGACCTTGATTGCTTGATTGATTGATTTGGGGGTTGATTGCTTCCCGCTTCCGTAGGTTTAACCCGCGATTCCCTACAAGTAACCCCTGGGTGGTGCAAAACGGGAGCCGAATACATAATCGGTGGTAGGACTTGTCCGACTGGCTGGCGACCACCCTCCAACTAGAGTCCGCCGCCAAATAGCCTAGCTGTGTTCCGGCGTGTGGGTTGGAGAGCCAGTGTTATTCCTNCAGTAATTACGCAAATTATAATTTTGCGGGTTTCATTTTTATTACACGATGTTATTCCTTCACCGTGGAAATCAATCGTGAACATTTGTTGAGTACGTATTTCATTAGAAAAATTGGTACCCGCCTGCGGGATTCGAACACCGATGCATCGCTCAACACGAATGCACCGGACGTCTTATCCGTTAGGCCACGACGACTTCAAGTCTATGTACATCACTCGATACGGGTGTACACAGGTCGCCTTGTTATTGAGACTACGACGAATTAAACATCTTATAGTAATACGGTCTGTTGAGATCAGTATTCCGCCCCAAGTTATAGTTTCCACTGACCAGAGATAATATAATATAAATACGTGCCGGATTGCTCGGAAGTTTTTGCAGGACGAAAAATCAGACGAAACTAAAACTGAAAATGAACTCCATTTGGCGTAGGCCCGTGGTTTTTCAGTATTTATCCAAATTAAAAAAAAAATCGAAATAAAAACTTCGTACAGGAAAATAATAATAATAAAAAATGTGTGTGTGTGTGTGTGTGCAAGTCACACACGGTAGAAGTGAAACTAATAAATGAGATATAGATATACTGACTATCTCACTACACAGTAGCATATAAGGACAATGTTTAGTAGACGATAGTGGGGATGCTACGAAGAGTCGCACAAAGAGGAGACCGAGAACGTCTAATGTGTTCTATCTCATTCTCTCGCCGGCTGAATCCTATACATTTATGTGTTTGTGTCTCTATGGACTTATTTTTTCGTTTCATCGACTTTGAAATCACAACGATTCTAAAGAAGTTTCACTTCAATAATGCATAAGCCATATCGCTGACAAAGAACTTCATTCTAGCTCTTAATAACACGCGAATACAAGTCAATTAAGTTTTTAATTTTGTATTTTTTTTTGTAATTACAGATCGCTGTCGTATGAGTGTCACGGAAAATCATCTCTACAGTCGCAGAGATGTAGGTTTCGACAAGTGCATTCTGGTTCGAAATAACGTGGGCATTAATAAATCAAAACGACACCAAGTTATAGTCCAGAACGAAACAGAAAAGAGGTCACTCTAAGGTCAATCAGATGAGTTATGGATTTACTTTGATGAAGCTGTCGGAAATTTTGAAAAAATGTCGACGAGTAACGATATGAGCGATGTTGACTCACCGAAGCTGAGAATGAAGCCTGCAGTTAGCAGGATATTCTGCTGCAGTGTCACAGCTGCGTCAGGATTTGTCGCGGCCTATGCGCTGGTGAGTATTGCTTACCCATAAATGTTAAGTTTAAATAGGTTTCGCAGGTGATGACTTTCTTCAATTGGAATGTGGAATGGCAAAGATAATTTAGTGTCTTCTTCGTTTACACTTTGTCATTTACACTCTTGGCTGAGTGTTCGTGGTTATCATTTCGGATGGAGGTGCCCTTCATAAGACGTCGCTATTTCTCGCGTACCACGGACTTTCTTGTGCACTCGTTGATCTTGTACTTGCCTTGTCTTGCATCTACTGCATCCATACAGCCCCTGTATCCGAACGTAAATATTTTTTATTGATTTTATTGCTTAGATAGGTGGACGAGCTCACAGCCCACCTGGTGTTAAGTGGTTACTGAAGCCCATAAACATCTACAACGTAAATGCGCCACCCACTATGAGATATAAGTTCTAAGGTCTCAAGTATAGTTACAACGGCTGCCCCACCCTTCAAACCGAAACGCATTACTGCTTCACGACAGAAATAGGCAGGGTGGTGGTACCTACCCGCGCGGACTCACAAGTGGTCTTACCACCAGTAGTAGGTGTATCAGTGTATGTTGTACATATTATATTACCTAATATCCTCAACTTTCTTCATTGACCCCAAAAAAATTTGTAAATGAAAATTCAATTTGATCAATCTGTTTCGGGCCAGACAAATTAAATGACACATTGTTATTCAAAAACAGTAAAGACGAAGCAGCTATCTTTAATCTAAGCATTCTAGTCACGTTCTTAACCACACTCGGAAGTATAATAGCAATTTTATGGAGATCTTTTTCTCGTTGTATTTATCGCAAATAAGCTCATGGAATGGAACTGTTAAGGGTCTAGTAAAACTGGTATTTGTTTGTCGAGTTTATCTTGTAAGATGATGAAACTGGGCGCAGCAAAAGTGAGAGTGCACACGCGACTGAGCTAAAAAGCTGACGACTTTTAAACTTTTAGAAGCTTGCAAATGGTTCCTGATAATATTAATAATGATAATCGAATTTTAAAAATTCTGCCCACGAAAGCTTGATGAACTAAACACTCTGAGAGAACAGAACTAATAAGTGTATGTATAATATGCACGGATAATATGTAATGGGTTTACGATTACTCACGACTTACATTAGGACTTTAACAATCTAGAGGAGTAGACGAGATAACGGCTCTTCCAGTATTAAACGGTTCCCGGGGTCCATACCAAATTGTAATTTGCGTAATCACTGGTGGTAGGACCTCTTGTGAGTCCGCACGGGTAGGTACCACCACCCCGCCTATTTCCGCCGTGAAGCAGTAATGCGTTTCGGTTCGAAGGGTGGGGTAGCCGTTGTAACTATACTGAGACCTTAGAACTTATATCTCGAGGTGAGTGGCGCATTTACGTTGTAGATGTCTATGGGCTCTAGTAACCACTTAACACCAGGTGGGCTGTGAGCTCGTCCATCCATATAAGCAATAAAAAAATAAAAATAAAAATACCAATCAGGTACTGAAATTTTATATCTTTAGACAAGTTTTCAAAGTATTATTGCATTAGAATAATTGTTATTCTTTGTATTTGATAAAATATTTTGATCTTTCTGAAGCTTTAAGATGGTATTATGAACCGCATCAGTGAAGCGGGTTGTGAAGGTTGAATTTATTAGATTCTACCACTTTAACTTTTACGAATCCTTATACCGAGTCGGAGGTACGACACGATAAGCGTCATCGACAAGTAAAACCTTAAATAATTGAACTATAATATAGTTATATAATTAATAGTTATATGACCGTGTACCAGATATGTAACAAATGTTTGGAGGTTATTCGCCAGTCCTAAAAAAAAATGTGTGCGTGTACTAGTGTACACACGTAAGAAGTGAAACTTATTTATGGCCTTATTTTTCGAAAAATGATCTACATGCAACTTTCTAGAAATTGGTTAAATAAAGTTAAATTAGATAAAGTTTAAACAAAAGGATTTTATTATCATAGACATGAATACAAAAAAGTTAAATTAGATAAAGTTTAAACAAAAGGATTTTATTATCATAGACATGAATACAAAAAAGTTAAATTAGATAAAGTTTAAACAAAAGGATTTTATTATCATAGACATGAATACAAAACAGATGGCGCGTAACGGAAAAATGTGACGCGTAACCGAAAAATGTGACGGTAAATTTTTTTCCAACGCCGATAAGGAAGTTTCACTTCAAAAACAACATAGAACACACTACTTTATACAGTACCAATATTGAAAAAAACTTGGTTATATTTATCTAAAACTTTAAATATAAATCGGCTATAATGCATTTTTCTCTAATTGAAGCTGGTTAAATTTTTTTAGACATCACACAGACATCACACGCTAAGTCCCTAACATTAATTTATTTTAGAATTCAAAGTCAACAGACTAAATATAAATCCGATAAGTTTTGAAGCGTGTTGTAAAATAATAAAGTAACTATAAAATACTTATATCGAGCTACAGTCATGTATGTTTCGAGTTTAAGAATGTTGTAACGATTTATGGTAATTTCACAACAGATAGTAACCTGCCTTGAATTTGTTATATATCTTGCATTAAATTGCTGCAACTACACTGTACCAGATCGGTACGCGCACCAATTTATCTTGGGGCTCGTTATTTCGATCTAAATTTAATACAGGCTAGTCTTAGGGGTCACTAGTGACCTCAAAGAGATTCCTCCTCCTTGCGTCGATAATCCTGAATGCTGAGGGTCGTGGCCTCTTCAAACAACTTTCTCCTGTATTATCCTGCGCCATTTCTGCGTATCCTCGGCTGTGTGGATAGTAACGTGGACCGAAGTATTGAGAGTGGAGCGTATCTGGTTAGACCAGCTTATTGGAATTCTTCCGCATACCTTGCCTGTTACCAGCAGCTTTTTCAAATTATCGCCTCTCTTTCTGGCTTACGTGGTAGGACGAGCTCACGGCCCATCTGGTGTTAAGTTGGTACCGGAGCCCATAGACATCTACAGCGTAACTACCGCCACCTACCTTGAGATATAAGTTCTAAGGTCTCAGTATAGTTACAACGGCTGCCCCACCCTTCAAACCGAAATGCATTACTGCTTTACGGTAGAAAGAGGCTGGTGGTACCTACCCGTGCGGACTCACAAGAGGTCCTACCACCAGTAATTACGCAAATTATAATTTTGCGGGTTTTATTTTTATTACACGATATTATCCCTTCACTGTGGTAATCGTGAACAATGTTAAGTACGTATTTCATTAGAAAAATTGGTACTTGCCTGCGGGATTTGAACACCGGTGCATCGCTACGTACGAATGCACCGGACGTCTTATCCTTTAGGCCACGACGACTTTTCGATTTTTTTTCATAATTATAATATTGGAATCCATCATTGTTTCCAGGTGGCGTACGCGATCGCGTTGATCTACGAAATAGTGTGGGTCGTTGAATCACAGAGCGGACTACCTATTCCATCGGTACTGCTCATGGTATGCTACATCATCGTCATAGCCGCCACCGTAACATTAGTTCATGGGCTTATATCGGTTAGTATCTATATATTAATACGTGAAGCAAAAACTTTGTACCCCTTTTTACGCAAATTGCGCGGACGGAAAATTTCTCACAATTATAGAGAATATAGAGGAGGAGTGCATGATGCTAATTTGTTTTTAAATTATGCATAAAAATACATTAAAACAATTAAAAAAAAACATTACACACACTACCATGTATTTGATACACACACACACATTTAAACTCTTTATTTATTGTCAAACTTTTGTTATTGCTTAGATTCTGGTCAAATTGAGAATAGGTTAATATTGTTTATCTTTAATATTATTTGTCTTTAGTGTAGTCTTGGCGAAATCTGTGAATAAAGAAGTATAATAAATAGTCTTTGACAATAGAACCTTAATAATGTTCAAACTTATAATTTCAATTAATTATTATCGAATTTCGACTACTGCGGGACCACTAGTTTCACTTAATTCCTTATATCTTTTTATAGAAAATTAAAATGTGTACGTATAAAGCACAAACTTTATAACAGATTTTAACACTTTGGATTTTAAAACTCGTTAATACAGTCTCCGAGTATATAAGAAACTAATAGGTGTACTGCCATTTTATAACACAAATGGGCTAGAAGTCGATAAGTTATACAGAAACTTGTAAGTTAATGTCAGCTTGCGCACTGGTATAACTACAGTGCCAAAACGGTCACGGGGGAACGGTAAGCAGCGTCAATGGGTGAATCGAAGAAACATGGAAAAACTGAATAGCCCTAACAATAATTTTAAGAAATATTGCGTATTTAATGAGTTTCGAACATTAAGACCGTCCGTATGTCGAGCAAAGAGACTCGCTCGGTCATGCTTAAAGGATTTTAGTTGCGAGAGAGTTTTTTTATTGCTTAGATGGGTGGACGAGCTCTCAGCCCACCCGGTGTTCAGTGGTTACTGGACCCCATAGACATCTACAACATAAATGCGCCACCCACCTTGAGATATAAGTTCTAAGGTCTCAGTATTGCTACAACGGCTGCCCCACTCTTCAAACCGAAACGCATTACTGCTTCACGGTAGAAATAGGCAGGTTGGTGGTACCTACCCGCGCGGACTCATAAGAGGTGCTACCACTAGTAAATACAAGTACCAGTAAGTGGACAAAATACTTTTCAAGATACTTAACAGTTTTAGTTCTACTATGTATAAATAGCTAATTCTAAATACTAGTAAAAATATTTACAATTTTTTTTCAGAAAAACAACAAATATCTTCTAGCATGGTTGATAGCGGTCATCTTAGTGCTGATACCGGAGTGTGCTCTAGTCTTCTATATGTCTATTAGTCATTGGGTAAGTTGCAAATCACATTGTTTTTCATGAATGGAAAAAACAGTTCTAGGCAGCAGTTGAGTAGTTAAGGAAGCCTATGTAAAGCACTTTCTAGGTGACACCGTATAAGTGCTATTCCACTTCAAATCGGGCATGAAAGTGCTACTTTTCCGTGCGGACTCTACATTCTGGGCTCTTTCCCACAATAACACACACAAAGACAGAACCTACTGAGTTTCTCGCCGGATCTTCTCAGTAGGTCGCGAATTCGTTGGTAGATTTTGCGAAGCGCTGCTCTTGCTAAGGCCAATTTTCGAAAAGTCTCTCAAGTTGAGCCCGTCAGTTCACCTACCAGCCAGAGCGTAGCTGGAATAACCCCTTAGACTACCAGCAAATAGGTAGGGCGAAAAGGGCTCTTCGTAATTACTAGCATAGATTGTCAATTCGTTACAATCGTCTTTCTTATTTTCAATGAAATTGAATAATGCCTTCCAGTTTGAATAGTAGGTATAATTCTTACTTGCTATTGTTTCAAGTAATACTTCCCTCATATCCTAATACGCGGGAGGCGGCTCACAACTAGAAAATACCTCGATTTTACCTGAATATAAGATTCAAGAAATATCTTTTAATGTAAATGCTTGTAATTCAAGGGTCTGCAAGGAGTTTATGGAGGCGCGGAGTTGGCATGCTACGTGGCACGGCTACCGGCTATCGTCTGCGGAGTTGTGCTGGTACAGTCGGCCTATGCGCTGAGAGAAGCCAGGTAAATATTGTAAAACGTTCCATGGCTTAGACTTTTGTGATAAATAGAATATTTCGCGGTATATTCATGGAACATATACTCCGCGAATAAAGAGCTTTTACTGTATTACAAATATTCAATACTAGCTGACCCGGCAGACTTCGTAGTGCCTCAATCAAGAAATAAAAGACCAAAACTTTTGTATAAAATAAACTTAAAACAAACAATACCGTCCGACAGGGGACACATCAAAGGAAAACGAAAATTGCTATTTTTAGTTTTAATTCCGAGCATTTTAATATTTATAACTTTTAAACCTTCTCTGGACTTCCACAAATAATTCAAGACCAAAATTAACCAAATCGGTCCAACTGTTGTCGAGTTTTAGCGAGACTAACGAACAGCAATTCATTTTTATATATATAGATTACGGACATTTAAATATGTTACTACAGCAGACAGGTACCGATGGCGTCTGTTAATTCTCCAGAATACGTCATTTCGGGTTAGAGGTCCCGCCTCTAAGCTACAAAGAAACGATGCCAAACTTTATTATTCCGTATGTGTTACAGGAAAGCGGGCTACGGGAACGGTGCGGCAGTTAGCGGGAGTGAGTTCGACGCCAGCCACTACATCCCCGATGCTCCGTCCGCCTTTACAAACGATGGATTTTTATCAGACAACGGTACAATAGAATGCGTAACTTTTTCTTTCTAAAGTCTAAGAAAACTATAGTGGCTGTATGTTTAAGATTCCTTTTGTTTTTAAACTATTAAAAAAAAAAACAAGTAGGTTCTCATTTTTTTAGTTGTATTGTCTTTTCCAAGTGATCCGCTTTAGATGAATGTTTATTGAAGGCTGGCGCTTCTCTAGTGGACCTATTTAAATTACTTTTATAGTTGTCCTTAGTAATGGTTATATAATTTCGATTACATCGAGAAAGCGACCTCATGTCTCAAGGTGGGGGGCGGCATTAACGTTGTTGGCTTCAGCATTATTTTTAAATACGTGTATGAATTTCATAATCATGACAGTCTTTGAGTGGATGTAACGTGTTTAACATTATTAGCAACGTGCACTGCGTAGAACTTAATACACTGGTTGATGTATGATGGCAATTTTGGTGTGATGGGAGGGTGAGTTTATGTTTTTATTGCTTAGATGGGTAGACGAGCTCACAGCCCATCTGGTTTTAAGTGGTTACTGGAGCCCATAGTCTATGACGTAAATGCGCCACCCACCTTGAGATATAAGTTCTAAGGTCTCAGTGTAGTTACAACGGCCAAACCGAAACGCATTACTGCTTCACGGCCGAAATAGGCAGGGTGGTGGTACCTACCCGTGTGGACTCACAAAAGGTGCTTCAACCAGTATAAAAACGTTTGCTAACTGTTCTTGTATAGACTACGCGTCCGGCTTTGCTAATAAAAATCCATGATCATCAGGTAAATCAGGGTCGATGCCAGATCTGAGACGGCACCTCGCGAGCCGTCAGTCCGCACGTAGCGCGTACGGCCCCCCTCCTCCCGCCTACGGCCCCCCGCCTCCCGCCTACTGGCGCCACCTCGCGGGCGCCGCCAGTCTGCGCGGGTACCCCAAGCCGTACGTCCCACAGCACGGCACCTGGGTCGGGCCCCGGACCAGCCCCTACGACAACCCCTACAAACGCCGCCATTCCATCGTCGGCGCGTTTACCACAGACGAATACCCCTCAAAGAATTACGAATACGAGGACAGAGCGGACTGTAAAAGCGAAATGGCGTATCCTTATTATCGACCTTACGCCTACGACCCAAGGTTGTATCCGGAATACGGATTTTACCCAGATTATAAGAGAGAAGAGGCTTCGTACGGTGTTAATTTGCTTCGGCATGATCCTTATCACTTCAGTGGCTCTAGGGAGAGAGTCTTCTACAACATGAGGAACAGTCACACGTCAGTTGGCAATGAATCCGATGATTTGACCAAATATAAAGATGTTGCCTTGTAGAATAAAACAAGCTTTGGTTTTTCGTTACAATTTGTGAATGATACTAATGTTTATTAGGTCTATTTGTCAAATAAATTGTAAGACAGAAATAAATTGTTCTATTCAGATTAATTATTAATTGTGAAATATTCCGTAACTATGTATTTTCAGATGTGTGTGACATTTGTATATTTTCTTTTTCTAGGTAGTTATTATTTTAGCCAGGCAATATTAAAACAGTATAATTAAACCTTCAATTATTTATTTAAGGATGTGTATAAATATGATCTGATGAGTTTATTTTAAATATTTGTAAAGAGATGTGGAATGCTGTGTTTTAGTTTTTAGGACATCGATTAAAATATCAAGTTTGGAATTTGATTATGATGTTATACTTTAATAAAAACAACACAATTTATTGAGTATTTATTAGGAGAAAATGTATCAGCTCTGACAGATGATGGGATCCTGGCTTAAAGGTTCAAAGTGGAAGCATGCAGACCCTCAGGTTTTGATTTATAATTGGAGAAAATATTCTCTAAAGAGCATAGGCTCATAATGATCAAAAATAAGACGGTGGGAGTGTCTGGGCTGTGGAAATGGTTTGTGAAATAATAGACGGTAGATAGAAAGAGATCTAACTCTGTCTCTCTTTCTTCTCTTTCTGACCAATTGTTGACTGACATTAGTCAGTCTTTTTCAGGACACAATCTAAGGTTGATAATTAATTCAACACGCAAAGAAATCGGTCGAAAGAGAAAAATAAAAATTCGGATTGAACATAATAAAATTTAAATATATTATGTACTAAGAGACTTAAAAGTAAGGAATTGATCTCTGCCATGTTTAAAAAATGACTATAAAAACCCAAGAAATATTTACTATGGGCTTCAGGATACTTGTCATGGTACAACCATCTTGAAGCGAATCGATTTTACGAGCATCTTTAATAAACAGAGATGATCGTATTATTTAAAAATGCCGCCTTGACGTTTTTAAATAATTTATAATCAAAAACTTTGGCTTTGCATTTGGAATTTTGATGTAGAATCGTGGCTAATGTTTTTTTATGATTCTAAACAGTAAATTATAGTATTTTAAAGCACAAAAGTAACAGGGAAGTACTTTATTAATGCTTGTTAGATACTTAACCTTTTTTCGGAGAAAAAAAAAACTCAGAAAGCGCACATTCTTTGATCTAGTTTTTATTGTATTGAATTTATTGCCGCCGAAGGCAAATGAGTTAGTAGACCAAAGTAGTCTCCATGCTGTCGCATATAATGCATGTTAGATAAACATTCACACACAACAGTTCAATCTCTAATCTAATATATAAAATATTTATAAACCACACACGGCAGCTTACGAATTTTTTTATGTATTATAATTTAAGTTAATTGAACTCTTTGTTAAACTTTTAAATAATAATATATAATGATTAGTTAAGTTACCTAGTAACCAAAGGTGCAAGTGTAAATACGTATGTATAAGTCTATGTAGCAAGTACTTATGAATTTTTACCTTTTAAAAGAGTCACTATTTTATATTATGTATATTCAATAAAAATGTCGTAATTAAAGATTTTATTATTATTTTTTATTTTATTCTTTTTTTTATTGTTTTTTTATTGCTTTGAGGGATGGGCGAGCTCACCTGGTGTTAAGTGGTTACTGGAGCCCATAGACATCTACAACGTAAATGCGCCATCCAACTTGAGATTCTGATATAAGTTTTAAGGTCTCAAAGTATAGTTACAACGGCTGCCACACCCTTCAAACCGAAACGCATTACTGCTTCACGGCAGAAATAGGCAGGGTGGTGGACCTACCCGCGCGGATTCACAAGAGGTGCTACCACCATTAATATTTATTCGCAACATATTCCAAATAGTATTCTCAACGAATCTCCAATAAGTTTTAACGTTAAAATGAATGTCCGACACAGAAAACTTAGCCTTAGCCTACTCAGTAAGCAATAGCAAAGACATTATGAAAATCAAGTTATTACTTTTTTATGAGACTTGTGGCATTTAAATTTGCCTTTTTTTTTAGATAACGTAAATAGCTGTTTTCTGTGTTTTCGATTGTCATCTTTTGACCCATTAGGAAAACTTATTGGCCCCGTGATATAATTTGAATAAATGTAAACAAAAATCAAATGCCACAGTGAGTTTTATTTAATTAATTATTGTTCTTCTTAAATAGTGCTTGAAAACTTGTATTAGCATTTTAGGGGCAGGAGAGCGGATACAAATGTGCTCCAGGTGAAACGCCACAACTTGTCTCCCGCCTACTTCAAATTAGTTCTGCCTTAGTTTTTAATAAATATGTACGTAAGCTTTCCTTTCACGATTATTGTTGATTACGTGATGTTAAATTATTGAAAGTCATATGCATAAACTATGTTGATAATTAAACATGGCGGAAGGTGTTATTTATTTTATTGTAAATAAAAAAAATAGCAAGAATATAGACTTAAATGAACATACAATTTGTGAAGCTTATACGTGGTCACCACGAGAGGTCCACACGAAGCTTTCAAATAAAAAAATATCATCAAAAGCGATTCAACAAGAAAATGTTAAAATGTAATTTATCATTACAAACGGGACGTTTATGAGGTGAACTTATTCAAAAGTGAACCTACCAAAAATGGGATATGGAATTCATCAAACAGCAACACCAATAGTGTTGCTATTTGATCTATATCTCTGCCTTTACAAGTAAGCAGGCCTTGTTATAAATGAGTCGTCTATTAACAAAGGTGGCAATCTGTGCATTTGGACAAAAAAATGTTATTGATATGTCAATACAGATTGATTTGAATATAATCGTCTCCTTCAAAGAATACGGTTCAAAACTTGTATTAAATAAAGGTTAATATTTAACCTGTTATTTATCTAGGATGTCGTTCAGAAGAGTTTTGTGACTGCCAATGGAATACAAAGTCAATAATTCGTTTTCCTGATTTACCAATAATTGTCCAAAAGTCACATTGCCGGCTTTGATAATAGTCGACTCAAATATAGTGCCAATTATTTGGTTAGGTTTTAATTTTTTATCTACTTGAGTATCTGATATTGCCAAGACAGATCTAAAGTAATAAATAAATACGACGAAGATCAGTGAACTTCTTAAACCTAAGTTTTGTGTTTTGAATACTTTTCAAATTATATGAATTTATAATGAGGCTATGCGTTTCATACAAAATGGTAAAAATAAAGGTTTAAAAGGGGTCTAGCACGAAGTAAGGATTTTTGCAATGTAAATAATTTAAAAAAATTAACTTGAAAAGCTTGAATTTTGTAGAATACCTACGACTGAAGGAGGTTCTTCAGCGTTTTGTTATTGATGTAAACTTCTTAGTTGAAATTATTAGCCATAAGTTGACGTCATTGTCAATCTATTTTATTCGTTATTTGTCAATGTACCTAATGTAATCAAAGCAAATTTTACTGTTAATTTTAGCTTATTAAAACCTTATATTCAGTAAAGGTTTTCTCTTATTACAATTTAATAAGCTAAATAAATAAAAAATGGATAGATAT